CGGGTGGTGCAGTGGCTCAGTGGTTAAGACGCTGGGCTTGTCAGCTGGAACGCCAGCAGCTCAGGTTCAAGATCTGAGTGCCACGTGATGAAGTGAGCTCTGGTCTTCACCCCAGCTCCTGCCAACTTAGCAGTTCAAAAGCATACAAATGTGAGTAGATAAATAGATATCACTTTGGTGGGAAGCTAACAGCACTCCATGACATCATGCTGGCCACGTGGCTGCAGAAATATCTTTGAACAGCGCTGGCTCAATGGTCTTGAAACGGAGATGAGCACTGCCCCCTATGGTCAACAACAACTAGCAGAGTAAAATCCGCAGGAACTCCTTTTTTTACCTTTATGTTAGTGGAGTCTGAAAAAGTGATACTGGTGACCCATTTGTTGTTCACTTTGGGCACCCTTCCTTTACTCCCACAACCAATTGATCGCTCAATTAATCACTTAACTGCCATAACCAAAATTCTGTTCTATTTACCATGCAATTAAAACATCTGTACTTAATAAAGTCCAGAAATTAATAAAATGTAATTTATATCTGTAGATATTTTCCTTATCCAGATTGAGAAAAATAATATGATTTAGTTTTGATCAAAGCATTGCCACTTTATATTCAGACAAATGTATGGAACTCATGTAAGCATCACACTTCTAACAACAAATCCTTGTAGTATGTTTCCTTTAGACCATGTGGTATTTATCTTATTGTTTGGATATAATATGGAATTGGCATAAAACAATGTTTACTTCCAGGGTTGCTTTCCTTATTTTCAGCTAAGCACATCTAAGGTCCACAGATACCTACTGCAAAGGATGAATCTAGAACTGCTTTTCAGTTAAAAGCAAGACATAAGTACAGCTAGCATATATTAATTTGAATGTATTTTTTAAAAAGTCATAAAACCCACCTGAGAGATGTATAACACAGTACAAGATGTGACAAAGAAATATGTGCTCCCTTATGCTAAAGCATAAAGATTCACTGTAAATTAAATCTCAGTTCTGAAGCCTCTATAAAATCAGTGCACTGAATCTGCTGCAAATGAATAATGCTCTTGACAAAAGATGCATCGGGTTCTTGCAGGTTTTTGTTTCTAATATTTATGAGAAGCAGCAAAATTAAAGTATGGGATTTACAAAATATAGCCTGAGTAACCTTAAAATGTCATTTAATCCTAGAACTCTTCTTGTTTTAACCCCTTGTATTAAAAGAAATGTCTTATCTCTTGTGACTTTGTGTCTAATCTATATATGTAAATTTGTCAGCATATATAGCATATTTCATATGATGATTTTAATTTCTCCAGATCAGAGGTCCCCAACCTTTTGGGCACCAGGGACCGGTTACGTGGAGAGAAGTTTTTCTGCGGACTGGAGGAGGCGTGGTTTTGTGTGTTGTCTGCATCCCCCAGATGGGGTTTTGGTTGTTAGTGCGGCCTGGTTGCTGGCATGCTGTGACCCAGTACCGGTCCATGGACCGGGGGTTGGGGACCCCTGCTCCAGATGGCTTCTTCAATTACTCATTTATAAAAGTCTAGAGAAATTTTCTAATACTGGAAATATTTCAGTCATTATGAAATGTACTCTTCTGCTGTGTCAAGCATCTTTTGAGAGGCATGTAGCAGGCATTATCAGAGAAAACATTTGGCTTAGACAATTCATCAATCTTTTCTATTGCATATGCTTGCATTTGCCACAAGTAGATAGATAGACAGACCTCTGAATCATGTCCAACTGAATTTTAATACATTTAGTAGTTTCAATCCAAAATTATGGTATTCTGTAGTAAACTAGGGAAAATGGACTTTTCCCTCCTCTCCCCTAAGATTATAGAAAACAGTTCTAGAATCTGTTTTCAGAGTTAAATTAGGTGGCAAATCTGAAGTTAGAGGGATCAATTGCTTTCACATTTTCTTTTTTGAAAGTAAACAACTGCAAATTGGCAGAATATCTTTCTGCATGTTATTCATAACAAATTCATGATCGCAATAAAAAAAAATCAAACTATGATTATTTATTATTGTTCCCTAAAAAAACTCTGTTTAAAATAAAAGCCAATAGCAACTTTGCTAAAGTATGGTGATTACTGCACTACTTTTATAGAAACAAATCTTCCAGTAAGAAAATCTGTGCAAAATCACCACAGTTTTTGTAGTGAAATATATTTTTCTCTATCATATCTTTCTCAGATATTGCTTACATTGTTCATAGTTATGGGGAAAAATTATACTATGGATCAGCTTCGTTTCTTTTCCTTATAACTTACTAAATAAAGACTCCCTTGAAGTTTCATGATGACTATATAGAATCATACAATTGGAAGTCAACCCTCCTCCTCAGCAGAAACAATATTTTATAAATGATAATGAAGTGTACACTGAGTTCAGATCAACTATCTATCCGGAGACAAAATGTGGCAATTTGGAATGAATTTCAATTTTCTTGGCAAAAGGCTGAATACAATTGCCATTGTTAATTCTGGGTTTCTACAAAACCCCAATCACAATCTGTGGCCAGAGTGACATTTAAACAATACAAGCTGTCATGGAGGAAGAAAGGACAAAATCCAGTTTCCTGTTATTTATATAAATCAAAAGTGGGCAATTTTTTCACAACAGTGCTTTAGAATATTTAAGAATAAGAGGTATAAAGCACCTTTAAAAATGTTAAAGCAGTTGTTTCTTTTTAAAGACTTCATTGAATAACAGGACTAGAAACCCAAGACTACACTGGCAGTGACGAGAGAGTTCTAATGCTGCAAGATGAAGAGGAAGAAAATCTCATATCTACACCATCATCAGAGTAGGTGGTGTCTACTATTGAGGAAATGATAAAAAAGAATCTTTTTGAAAGCTGGAATTGTTCCCACAAGGGAGTTAGCCATAGTACCAACAGAGGAGAAAGCACCCAAGTTATAATGCTACTATGAACGTTTTTATGTCTTCAGTGTCAGTATGTCAGACCATGTTAAATCCAGACTCATTCTTGGATCAGCTGCCAAGAGACTAGGCAACGGAACTAAGATTTTAAATCATTTCAAAGTAGTGATATATCAGGGGAGAAGGCAGATTAGTAGAGTACTAGCAATTTGCTGGGTCTGAAAAAACAGGTGCTGCTACTAACAATATAGGCAACAAGTCCAAAAGAGATAACATTATGGGAGAGGAGAGACAACAGCCCCTTCTTCTCAGCTTTTTCTTCTCCCACTCTTGAATAAGCTGAACACTGGGCAGGGAAACTATAAGTTCACGTGGTGGCAATTTCTATTCAAATCACCACCAGGATAGGCAAAATGTTGGTGTTGGATAACCAGCTGAGATAGTCTTTCCAGTTCTTGATTTGGTAAGTGATTTTAAAGTATATGTAGCTGCTACTGGCCAGGTGATAGATGGTCAAACAAATAAGGAGAAGTACCCATTTAGCTGCAGAAGAGAAATACAAGTTCTGTTACTTGCAACAGCATATACTCCACACTTGAGTGTCTCCTTGCAGTCTTACAGATTGCCCACCTGCTTCATAACACTGATAAATTTCTCTGTGCAATGCTAGCTTTCAACCTCTATCACAAATAACCTGCCAAATTGTCACAATAAACCTATATCCAAATCCACAACTAATGTAACTATAAGTTCTGAAGTAGAATTAGCACAAGTCCATTGCTTATATTTCTTCATTTATTACATACAGTATATCATAGACACTATCATCATTTCAATTTTTATTACATTATGTTCCAAACAGGTCTGAAATAAATCCACAGCTAATCCACAACTAATCTAGAATATTATCGAGTCTTCAGAACAATATAGCAACAAAAAGCTGACCACCTTTCAGTTTCCAATGATCAGAATTACTGGAAGAGAATATACATAGCTTGGGGTTGAACTGTGGTATATTTGATGCTTTCTGAGTTTGGACATTTATTTGCAGACATTTCATTACCCAATTAGTAACATCATGATGTGATGATGATGTCACCGAGTTGGTTCATGAATATCTCAGTAAACAACCAAGCTTAGATAGCACCAAGAACTCCAAAGAACATGTCTAGTTCCGATGTTTGCTTCTACCATAATACAGCCCCAATCCACCAATTTCTATTTTCTCAGAGAGTTCTGTGGGTGGGCATATCTTTGGTACTGAGAGATAGCCTTTGCGATATAGTTCCCAATCTTGAGGGTTTGTGAGATTGTATTTTCTGAGGAATATATATAACAGCTGACCTAGTTGAATGGTTGATTTATTTTATGGAAAAGGCAGACAATTACTCCTTTATACTTTCAATAAAAGTTTCAGCAATAAACTTTACAGCATTTAGGAAGTCCTTTTGAATATACTTTCCTTCAGAAAATCTATTGCAAGTGTTTTGGCAACATAGGAAAAACTCTCAACCCAAAATACTTTAGTCTTCCTTAAAACAATATAATTGAAGGCACTTAGAAACAAAATGTTTAAAGAAATGAACCACGACTCCCCACATCTGTCATGAAATTGGGATGCTTCATCCCATTCAGCTTGCTTATAAAAAATAAAACTATAGCATTTGTGTTTTTTTCATACTATATTTTCAACGAATGGAACTGTACTTTTTCAAACTTAATTCAGATTTGGGTTTTAAAGTGAATTGGAGAACTTTTAGAGTGGCATGGATTAGACATACCTGCTGCTTGAATTTAGCTAGACTGGATGGTCTTTGTATATCTACCCTCCCCCCCTTAAACTCCTTGTATTTTGAAGGGACTAATGTTGAATATGCCATAGCAAAGTAATCAGAGATACTGATAAACAACAATTTCTGAAGATTTATTGACTACAAAATAAGCATAAATAAGGTATCCCAAATCTGAATGATTGTTAATGATTAAACAAAATGAGAGGGCTAGCAAATTGCTAGAGCACTTCACAATATCCTCTTTTGTCTTTGTTACTTACTCATAATAGAGTAGATCAAATAAATATTGCAGACAAATCCACAGTAATAACAGAATGAGATATAGTTACCTAACATGATGAAAGGAATTCCCAGGAAGGTAGAATTATATTTCCCACCAGTCAGATTAATGATTCCAGCTGCAGTGAGAGTGGCTAGAGTCACAGTTAACAAGCCAAGGAGGCCAAGCCAAGGTTTGCTGCGGACGCAGTCTTGCATGGAACAACAGAGCATTGCCAAGATCACCACAAGGACTAGACTTGTGGTTAGGTAATGTTCTGATACCCTACTTGTCTTCTGGAAGTCTTTTTGAAGGGATGATGAAGTGAAAGGATATATTGTGACATTCCGGTTGGATTTCTGGAACAGTTCTACTGTGTCACAGAAGTTGGATTCCCATTTTTCTGCTACAATGTCATTTAAGGAGTTGATTGCCTGCAAGTAATAGGTAAGCTGAATGGCTTCGGCAGACTTTACCCGATCTTTGCTGTGCACAGTGACTCCACCAAGCTGGTGCCCATTGTATACTTCCCTGCCATCCTTTAAGTGTGTGATTGGATATGTGATAGCAAAATTAGTTTGATTAGACAAGCGAGCAGCCTTCAGTTCCTTCAGGACATGTACAATGTCATCCACTATGCAGGACTTGTCATTATTTAGGATGCAGATATGAGCAAATGTGTAATTGAAACCAGGTCTTTGTACTTGGATCCTGGTCACAGCAGAATGCAACTACAAGGGAGAGAAAAAAAATCACACGTATTATTTATCATCTGATAATCTTGCATTATAGCAGCAGAACAGCAGCGGCAACTTGAACATGTTTTTTCTTATCTACCCAAGCAAGCAGGATTTAATAACCAAGCAGTAATAATAAGTAACCTCTGAAAATAAAAAAAATTCATTAAAGTATTGTTATCATTCCCCAACACTATTTCACACAACTTAATTAACTTCTGGCAAAAGAAACACCATGGGTATCAATTGGTCACTCTGTCTTTTCATACAACCAAATAGACTCTCCCCACCTTTAAGAAACCAAACAAGTTTTAGTTCAGAAGTTCTCTATTAGGAGAAAGAAAGAACTTTTGTTACAATTAGATCAAAACTGCTTTCTTATCTAAAAGAAAATGAAACAAAGCAATAATGTTCCCATACAATTTAACTACAATTGTGTTGGAGTTGAAATAGATTCCTGGTCAATGCATGGTCACATCCATGTATTTTTCTTTGTAACAACATACCCATTTGTCCAAGATGTTTTCTGACTCTCCAGTCTAGTCTACAGCTCTGATACTCTCCCATTCAAGGACTAACTAGGTGCAGTGGTCGCATTACTGTGGTAGATTAACCAATATGCAACCCAAAGAGGCATTAAGTTCTTTGAAGGTGGATTATCGCGTTTAAGACACAGTTAGTCCTTGACTCATGACTAAAATTGGGAAGTAATTTCAGTTGTAAATTGAGGAACCCATGTGATTGGACCTGATTTTATGACTATTATGTCTTTAAGTGAATCACATTATTGTAATTCTTAATCACACAGTTGTTAAGCAAATCATGCAGTCATAAGTTTGAATGCCTTCTCTCAAATAGGCATGTATTGCTGGAAACCAGCAATAAAGTAGAAAATAGCAGTCATGTGACTGTGGAGCACTGCAACCATTTGTAAATGTGAAATGGTTGCCAAGTGTTTGAAATGGGGTCATGTGACTGTGGGAGAGGGCAGAATGACATAATGGCCAGAACTGCTTTATGGTCCCTAAAGCATCCTTTTTGAGGTCATCATATTCCAAAAGATCGTTACATGACCTATAAAAGATTTCACAGAACTGTTGGGTTTCTTAGAGTCTTGAGCAGTATGATTGGCTAGGAACTACTCTTTATTAGAAATGGTCGCTCTTACTCCAGATCTCTACTTATTTCCCTTTAATGAATTTGGACAGACATATATAGAGCAACCCAGAGTTTTGTAGTTTCTGATGGTCTCCCAACTCAGTACTAACCAGATAGACTGGTTATATTACTATGTGATTTCAAATGTGAATACAAAGAACTAGAAGCATTTTGAAAATGGATCATTGCATCTGGTGTATATATATATTTAACATGTTCTATAGGCTTTTTATTTTTTTTTTATTTCTGGATTATGCAAATAATAAACAGAGGATATTGTTGAAATAGATAATCCAGACTTAATTATTGCAGCAGCAATGATTTCTATTTTGTTTTACATTATATCTGTGGAAAGCTAATGTACAAAAATCAGAAATGGTAAATATTATTTCCAAATTTCTGCTTATGTTGAAGCTCATTCAGTTAGCATAATGAGCTTTGCAAATAAGGGAATATTTATATCTCAATTGATCTTACTGCATTAAATGTATTTAATTACTCTTTCTTAAAGAAGATGATTACATGAAACCTATATGAATAAAGCATGCTTCCTTTCTGGTTAATGGCAACTACTGTACTGCATATACATATTTCTTTTGAACAGTAGCAGTGTTTTCGGATTCAAATTCTATATACAGTTCTCCAAGTAAGTCCTATCAAAATCTTGGAACATTGTGTTAGATCTTGGATCAAAGGTTTTGTTTAGTTTGGTCATAAATCACATACAAAGCATAATATTTTATAGTAATTCATTTGTTGTTAGAAGTTTATTTTTGTATATTTGAAAAGTTACAGAGCGTCTCAGATACAATATCTCCCTTTCATCAATAAAGCTTCCCAAAGACTATGCTAAGTAGAGCAGCTTTTGTAATCTAAATTATAAATAAATAAAAAATTAACTCTCAGTAATTAACCATAACAATCAACTATAAAATATCCACCATATATAATCAAAATGTTAAGAATATCATAATATTGTTAAGAATCTCCAATAAAAAAACTAGAGGAAGTTTAATCTATTCACAGCAATAGCATGAAAAATTAGAAAGATGTATTGGAAAATCTGCAAAAAATACTATTTGTCTGCAAGTTAGAACTGATGGGGAAATAGAGAAAGTCATAGAAAATGAAGATGTTAAAGTGCTCTGGGATTTTAGAATTCAAATAGACAGGCACCTGCCACATAACACCCCAGACTTAACAATTGACGATAAGAAAAACAAAAAAGTCTGGAAAGTGGATGTGGCAGTACAGAATAGAACAGAAAGGACTGGAAAAGATAACAAGATCAAATGACTGTGGCAAAAGAAAGCAAAGGTAGTAACAACAGTAATAGGCGTCTTGGGCACAATCTCAAAACAACTGGGGCACCACTTGAACATCATCAGTATTGACAAATTCACTATCAGTCAATTGCAAAAGGCAGCATTACTTGGAACAGTTTACATCCTGCAACGATATCTGCAACATCATCAAACATTCACATGTATCTATCCCAGGTCCTTGGGAAGGATTTGATAAGTGGACAAAAATGCCAAATCCAGTCTGAACATCTGGCTGACTGTGTGATGAACCACAGTGTGATGAACCACAATGAAAAGAAATCGAACAACTGTGGCAAAAGCAAGCAAAGGTAGTACCAACAGTAGTAGGCACCTTGGTCACAATCTCAAAACAACTGGGGCACCACTTCAATACCACTGGTATTGACAAAATCACTGTAAGTCAGTTGCAACAGGCAGATTTACTTGTAACAGCTTACAACCTGCAACAATATCTTTAACAGCATCAAACACCAACATATGCTGATCTGAAGTCCTTGGGGAGGACAATAGGTGGATGAAAATGCTAAATCCAGTTTAAACATCTGGCTAACTATGCAACCAACCGTAATAATAATAATTGTAATCACCACTATTTGTTATTGCACTGGTTCCTCTGTCAACAATACTGATCAAGTCAGGCTATGGGTATTAAACATCAAAAATATCTCGTAGGCTGGGTTAAATATATCATCTGATCAGTCCTTCAGGATCTTTGTTCTTCCTTTGACTAAATCAGATGATCTGGAAGGAAGCAAATTTGGACAGTTTTCACTTCTGCTGTACCTTCTTCACTATCAGTAGCCTTATTGAGGCCTTTCACTCCCTATCACTGGCTTGGGTGACTTTTCTTTCTGTGTATATTCCCAGAAGAATCATGTCACAACCAAGGAACAAAGAAAGGAAACCAAACATCTGAGCAGAGAAACAGGATAATGCCCAAATTTGTCTTTTCCTTTCCATCCTTTTCTCTTTTGAGCAGCTAGATTTGAGCTGGACACATTCTCAAACGATCCCATTGAAAAATAGATGTCAAAACTCTATCCATGCCAATAAATTACAGTATTTCTCTGTATATTATTTGCAGTTGTATGAAAGACTGTTTCATAAGAAATATGTAGAATCCTTATTGCTAGCAGTGGCCAAAGACCTTGATATCACTACAAAAGTCCAAAAAATATTTGAAACTCACAGAGCTATTTTTGTATCCCCCTAATTTCTTGGCATTGTGTACATCTGCAATACTTACTTAATTTTCATTATTTTGGTTTCAGTAATTAATTTTTCAAGGAATTCCATCTATTTTTCTGATATAAAACATGACAATATTATAAATGTGAATTAGTATATTAAATGTTAATTCATTTGGGCACAGTACATTAAAATAATTCTCTAGGAAACTTTTAAATTTAATAACAGTAAAAGATGCTTCATTAGAACAATTTTAAGATAGGCTTAATCAAGTGAGAATTGTTAAATGTGAATGTGATTTGAAAAAGGATGCAGAAAAGTAGATTAACTTGAAAAAGCAGGTTAATCTGATTGATACATTTTATTAAACTGAATAATCATGATGAATCAAAAGTTATTTTTTAAAAAATCTGGAGAGATTAGATTAAATAGTGGGTAATCTAATCTGCATGATAAATTTGTAACTGTAATAGTACAGGGGGGGGGGG